AAAAAGAAAAAGAAGAAAAAGAGTGGCAGGGGTGCAAAGTGGAGGGGAGCTGGACTTTGGGTTTTGTTTGCTTGTGCCCAGGCTGGAGTGCAGTGGCACCACCTTGGGTCACTAAAACCTCCACCTCCTAGGTTCAAGCAGATTCTCGTGCCTCAGCCTGCTGAGTAGCTGGGAATACAGGCATGCACCACTACACTCGGATAATTTTTTGTGTTTTTAGAAGAGTTGGGATTTCACCCTGTTGACCAGGCTGGTCTTGAACTCCTGGCCTTAAATGATCAAGTCTCAACTTTCCAAAGTGTTGAGATTACTGCCGTGAGCCACCGCACCCAGCTGGAAGGTCGCACCACAGATGTTGGCCTTCATCCCAACAGCAATGGGAAGTTTGTGTGTGTGTGTGTCTGTGTGGTTTAACATAAAATTTATCATCTTAACCATTTTTAAGTATAGTGTTCTGTGACATTAAGTATATTCACAGCCGGGCATGGTGCCTCATGCCTGTAATCCCAGCACCTTGGGAGGCCAAGGCAGGTCGATTGCTTGAGCTCAGAAGTTTGAGACCAGCCTGGCCAACGTGGCAAAACCCCATCTCTACAAAAAACATAAAAATTAGCTGGGCATGGCAATGTACACCTGTAGTCCCAACTACTTGGGAGGCTGAGGTGGGAGGATCGTGGGAGGCTGAGGAGGGAGGATCACTTGAGACTGGGAAGTGGAGGCTACAATGAGCCAAGATTGTGCCACTGCAGCACACCAACATGGCACATGTATACATATGTAACAAACCTGCACGTTGTGCACATGTACCCTAGAATATAAAGTATAATTTAAAAAAGAAAAAAATATAAATTATGCACCAAAAAAAATTAAAAAAAAAAAAAAAAAAAAAAAAAGGATTGTGCCACTGCACTCCAGCCTAGACAACAGAGTGAGACCCTGTCTCAAAAAAAGAAAAAAAAAGTATATTCACATTGCTGTGTAGCCATCACCACTATCCATCTTCAGAACTTTTTCATCTTCCCAAGTTGAAATTCTGTACCTATTAAACGATAACTTCCCATTTCTCCCTCCTTACAGCCCCTGGCAACCACCATTCTACTTTCTATCTATGAATTAGGGCACTCTAGGTACCTCATCTAAGCGGCATCATACACTATTTGTCTTTTTTTTTTTTTTTTTTTTTTTTGAGACAGAGTCTTGCTCTGTTGCCCAGATTAGAGTGCAGTGGTGTGATCTCGACTCACTGCAACCTCTGCTTCCCTGGTTCAAGCGATTCTCCTGCCTCAGCCTCCTGAGTAGCTGGGATTACAGGCGCTCGCCACCATGCCTGGCTAATTTTTGTATTTTTAGTAGAGACGGGGTTTCACCATGTTGGCCAGGCTGGTCTTGAACTCCTGATCTTGTGATCCACCCACCTCAGCCTCCCAAAATGCTGGGATTACAGGTGTGAGCCACCATGCCCGGCCTATTTGTCTTTTTATGACTTGCTTATTTCACTGAGCATAATGTCCTCAAGGTTCATCCATGTTGTAGCATGTATTGAAATTTTTTTTCCTTCCTTTTTAAGGCTAATATTCCACTGTATGGATATTCCACTAATATTCCACTGTAGGGATATGCCACATTTTCTTTATCTATTCATCTGTCAGTGGGTTGCTTTCACCTCTTGACTCTTGTAAATAGCACTGCTATGAACGTGGGTGCATTGAGGGGTTTTGAACATAATCATAATAAATGCTTTATGGAGACCAGCTTGGAGAAGAACAAGATGGGGAGGAAGTGGGGAAACCAATGAGAAGGCTGTCAGGGTGGAGCGGGAATCCAGAGGAGACATGATGATGCCTGGACTTAGGTGGTATACCACAGGGATGGAGAGAAGTAGATAGATTCAAGATATTTAGGAGGTGAAATAGACAGCATTTGTTAATGGGAGAGGTGTGGGGTAAGGGAGAAGATTGGAGGGAGAAGGAGGAGTAATGGGAGCTCACCAGCCATCCCCATGTTATGCCTCTTTCCTTCCTTTTCCCTCTTCTCTCATCAGGCATTCAGCTTTTGCTGAGTGCTGCTGTGTCTGGCAACAGGCTGAGCACTCAGCACTGCAGGACAGGACTGTGCAAAAAACCTCTGGGCCTAGTCCTGGGTCCACCGCTAATTCCCTGTGTGGCCTTGCACAAGACATCCAAGTTCTCTGAGCCCCCGATTCCCCACCCGGGCAGGAAGAAGAATAAGTCCCTGCCTAAGTCATAGGGTTGTAATGAAGAGCAAATCAGACCATATCTGTTAAGTGTTAGGGACAAGACAGGCATGAGGCATATTTTCAAGTCAGCTCCAGTAGGCAGCTCTCACTAAGGGCTAAAGGGCTTCTGAGGCCTGGGATAGAATCTGTCCAAGAGTGGAGTGGAGGCAGGGGGACAGCCTTCAGCTGTGGAATTCCTCGAGACCTAGAGACCAGCCTGAGCTGGGGGACATTATTCCAGCCCTGATTCTTGGGACCAGAAGGCAGATGCTTCTGCCCGCCATCCTCATGTCCTTATGCAGGGACCCAAGGTGGATGGCATTGATCCCCTGGGTGAGCTCAACCCTGGGCACAGGGTGGGACCCAACATCTCAACCTGTTTCCTAACCCCGAGCCAGGCAGGACAGATCCCAGATTTGTCCCCAAGCGATGCTCTGGCTTCCATGCCCAGGCCCACATAGGGATAGAGGGCAGAGTGAAAGTCTCTCTCCCTCACTCAAGTCCTCTGGAGAGGCGCTCTGTGGCATAAGGCTGACCTTATCCGCATTTGGTCTAAGAGGGAGGAAGAAAGACCTGCCAGTGCTAAAATCTCCCCCACCCTCAGAGGGGGACTTCACAGGTTATTGCTGGTTTTGGTTGTTGGACGCTGACAGTGATTTACTGGCAGATTGAAGTGGGCATGTGTGCAAGAATTTAGGATAGAATCTACTGATAGCTTCTGAGGTTTGCCTGCCCCAGGTCTTAAATCTAGAGATAATAAAAAAATAACAGCTAATGTCCAAAGAGCACCGGCTGCGTGTGAGGCTCACTGCACTAAATGCTTTCCATACGTTTCTCACAAGAACCTTCTAGGTAGCACTATTATGATTCCCACTTAATGGATGAGGAAACTAAGCTCTAGAGGGCTAAGTGACTAATCCAAGGTCACACAGCTATTGTCTCACCGGCTCTGAGCCCAGGTGTATCTGGCTGCGGGACCACCACCACTAACCCCTGTATAACACTGCCTCACGGAACAATGGCTGGCTTTTTCCATGTCTCCCATGGCCCTGCTCCATCATCATCCTGTGGTGGGCTCTGGACTGTGAGGACAGGAACCCAGGCTTTCACCCTCTCTCTGTCCGTGGCTGCCAGTGCACTTGGGCAAGGTCGCATCCTGTCTCTGGGCCTCAGTTTCCTCATCTGTAAAATGAAAGGCTGGATTGAATGACCTTTAAGATTTCTCTCACTTGGAAATTCCACAAGGAAGTCATTAGAGCATGGAGCTTGCATGCATGGGCTCCAGCGTCAGGCCAGCCCAGCTCTGCCAGTTAACGGGTGTGTGGCCTTGGATCAGTTATCTCGTCTTTCTGAGCCTCATTTCCTTTGTCTGAGCAATTGGGGGTGACGGCAGTGCACTTTCTTTGAAAAGTGATGGTGAGGAATAAATGAGCTCATGTATTTAAAGTGCTTATTTGGCACAGTGCCTGTAACTTAGTTAAATTCAAGAAATAAATTTCTTATTCTTCCCATGATCACTTCTTGTTAAGGGACATTTGTCTGACCAGTTTGATTTATGAGATTATTGGTGTTTTTCATAAATGTTAAGACGAATGTGCGTCATCTTAGAGTCACACACTCTGATATATTCACACGTGCACATCCCTTTACTCGGAAGTGTACACACCCGGGCATGCTTATTCTGTCTCCTTCTCTGCCACATACTTGCACATATTACGTGAGTGTACACACATGATGCACACACGTCTCCATGATCTTCCATCTCTCCTTGGCAGCCCTTCTGGTGTATTGGACCCTGGCCTTCATCACCAAGACCATCAAGTTTGTCAAGTTCTTGGACCACGCCATCGGCTTCTCGCAGCTACGCTTCTGCCTCACGGGGCTGCTGGTGATCCTCTATGGGATGCTGCTCCTTGTGGAGGTCAATGTCATCAGAGTGAGGGTAAGCAGGCCACTGAGGATGCACCTCAGCCAGGGCAGGGTGGGGAGCAGAGGCTGTGGCCTCTGTCCTGCCCTGGGTTCAGCCCCCCACCCTGCTTCTCAGCCAAGCTGAGAGGGGGTCAACTTGTTGTACCTGCCCCTGTAAAGGGGAGTGGGGCCATGGCGGGGGAAGTTTCAGGAGAGACACTGCATCTGGCCCATGTGTGCTCTACCCCAGGCTCCCAGAGGGAGGGGAGTGACAGGTGTGTTTGCTGAGGTTGGCGAATGACTTTCCATAGAGAGGGAAGATAAGCATCAGGCACTGGCCTCTCCTTTCTTTCTTCGATAGTGGTGGACTTCTTTGCTTTAATGTTTTCATATCGTCACATGCATACATGAATGAGTGTTTTGTTTTCCTTTCTGTTTGCTCTCGCCTCCCTCTCTCTTTCCCACCCCAGACTCCAACCTTCCCTTTCCCCTGCCCCTACCTCCCTAGGTAGCCCAGACTAATGAACTCATTTGTCTTTCCCATGCTTTGTTTTTATTAGTATAAAACCATATGTGTCTATCTAAATAAATATCTATTCAGGTTTTTTCCTATCAACACAAGTGAATATGTAGGTTTCCCCCTCAGTATTTATCTTGTAAGAATGGGATCATATTATGCACTGTTTTCTGCACTGTGCTTTTCTCACCCAACAAATATCTTTTGGGACTCCCTCCAAGCCATCTGATATAGCTAATTCTGTTTTCTTAATGGCTGCATAATTTTCCATCGTATGGATGAGCCATAATGTATTCAGCTATTTCTCTATGGATGGGTATTCACTTTGTTGCCAAGTTCTTGCCTTCATGAATAATGGTGTATCAAGCATACTCACATTTATGTATTGCTGCTTTTATTTCTGTGGGAGAGAGTCCAAGGAATGGCGTTGCTGGATCAAAGGGTCTGTGTATTTTAAATTTTGATCAGTGTTACATATTGCCCTCCAGAAAGATTGTAATCTGCCAGCGATAAGTGAGAAAACCCTTTCCCTGCCTTCCAGCCAGCAGTGAGGGCTATAGCCCTTTCAAACATGGACTGCTTGCATTTCTCTGACTCTTCTGCTTTTAGTTGGTGATCTGAAGGGCACAAGGCTCCTTATGTGTCCCCCCACCCTCCAGTGACCCTCACAGGAACCCTGTGATGCAAGCACCGTCCCCTTTATAGATGAGGAAACCTTTTAGATGAGGCTTGTCCAAAAACACCTTGCTGGTAAGTGGAGAAGCCAGGATTCGAAACCAGGTCTACATGACTTGGAGTTCTGTGAACTGTGTATGAAACATGGTGGTATCCTTAGATCTGTGGAGAAGATAGTACATGAGAGATTCCTGCTCCTCCCCAGCCCAACCTAAACCCAACCCAGCCTAGCCATGGGGGATTCGAAGTCAACCTCAATGAGCAGTTACAGAGTCAGGAGGCTCTGACATTGGTGGCCAGGAAGTGTTGGGGAATCCTTTTCCTGGTAATAATTACAGGTGAAAGATGGCCCCATCTGTTAGAGATCAAGTGTGGAATATCACAACCCCAAATCCTTGCTGGGGCAAGGTAGGGAGTGATGAGAAGTTGCACTTACCCATCCCCCATGGCCCATGTGCCCCACAGAGATACATCTTCTTCAAGACACCGAGGGAGGTGAAGCCGCCGGAGGACCTGCAGGACCTAGGGGTGCGCTTCCTGCAGCCCTTCGTGAATCTGCTGTCCAAAGGTACCTACTGGTGGATGAACACCTTCATCAAGACTGCCCACAAGAAGCCCATCGACTTGCGAGCCATTGGGAAGCTGCCCATCGCCATGAGGGCCCTCACCAACTACCAGCGGCTCCGCGAGGCCTTTGACGCCCAGGTGGTCAGTGGGGGCACAGCCACACCATCTATTCCTTGCCTTCTGGTTTAGGGTCACAGAGAGGGACCTTAAAGGGCATTAGGTCAAAATCCTGGTGGGACAAGTGGGGAAACTGAGGCTGGTGAGGGGAAGAAGCTTGCCTTAAGTCACACAGTGAACCAGGGACAGGTGCAGGGCTGAAGAGTCATAGGACAGGCACAGTTGGAATGGCCCTTACCGTTTAGGTCATCTAGTCCAATGTCCTCATCCAGATGGGGAAACTGAGGCTCTGAGAAGGGAAGTGACCCCACTGGACTCTCACGCCCCTGTGCTCTTTCCTCTGGAGCTTACTGACTATAAAGTTTGGAATGTTCACTTGATTTGGAGAGCAGGGGTATTAGTGGTCTGATCCTTATGGTAACTCTATGAATTGAGCCAGGCAGGAATCTCCCCATGTCACTGAGGAGCAAATTGAGGCCCTGAGAAAGGCCGTGACCTTCCCAGAGCTGGCCCACAGCTGGCAGGCAGCAGAGCCAGTCTCCTGACTCCCAGTCCAGTGCTCCTTCACTGCCCCTGTCCTCGCACCAGGGCAGTTGCTAAGGCACAGTGGCAGGTAGTAATGAGTGAGTGTGCCACATGGCCACTTCCTCATTCCAGTGCTGTGTTCATCACATAGTCCCTGACCAGCTGTGTGACCTCGAGCAATCATCTGGCCTCAGTTTGCCCATCTAGACCATGTTGGCGTTGATAGGGCCCTCCCAATTGTGCACTTGCTGATTCCATGATCTCTTCCTGGAGTTCACCTGCTTGCAGAGGATGTGGCCACTGGGTTTCCCCAGGCAACAGGAGCGAGGGGCATCCTGGGAGGCTAGGCCCAGCCCTGAATGAGCCCTCAGCCACCCTGACCTGGCCATGGTCTCTCTGGGCAGAGGAAGGATGTGCAGGTCACTCAAGGTGCCCGGGCCATCTGGCAGGCACTCAGTCATGCCTTCGGGAGGCGCTTGGTCCTCAGCAGCACTTTCCGCATCTTGGCCGACCTGCTGGGCTTCGCCGGGCCACTGTGCATCTTTGGGATCGTGGACCACCTTGGGAAGGAAAACGACGTCTTCCAGCCCAAGGTAGGCAGCCCCAGCAGTAGGGTAAGGCACCCTCTAGATGGTTTTCAGTTGTTTCTGAGAGTGCAACAGGCCAACGCGTGTGAGCCATAGCCACACTAGAGTGGCTCCTCACACATGTGCAAAGCCTATAGCAGTATCCCCACCACAGAATACTCTGCATCTGGTCAACAGAAATGCCAGGGGGCGAGCCTGTGCCCCAAGGGTGTCCTACTCTCCTCTTACCATCACTACCATAATACCTCTTCCGGTAGTCAAGTGAGTCCGAAACTGCAGGAGGTGCTTTTGTTTGTCCAATGTCTAGAGCTTCTGTGGCTTGGATTTGTTGGCTTTCAGTTTATGTCATCTTAGTAAACTTTAAAAATTTTGAACATCTGTCTTCTTCAGTCCTGTAAATGCTGGCACTTGAGCTTCTGCAGGGGCATCTTGGGAGCTGCTGTCAGAGCAGAGAGAAGTGGGAAACCCTCATGAGTGGAGTTTTGTCTCTCCCCACTCCAAATTTCATTCAAAGTTGCCCGAGTTTTATTAATATGTTGGACTTTTCTATTAAAATTTCTTTTTTAATGAAAGTTTCCATGGCTTAAAAACACTGGAAACTTGTTAGACTTGATTATATCCAATGGCCTTTGCAGTTGTAAAGATTCTACAAACTGAAATTTGTTGGAGCTAGAAAACCCTTCCTGGGGGTTATTTTCCCTGCATGGGGCCGTAGCATCCACTTCGGGGGCTGGGGAGACTGTGTTCTATAGTCTGTTTCTTTGCAGCCGTTTAGGTTTAAATGGCCACAAAATGAAAAACGTTTTACCCCTAATAAGTTTCAGAGTTTTAGTTTCCAAGTGAGGATGTCATTATAACATTTTAACCACAGACAGTCTGAAAATAATGCAGAGAATTGGGAATTAGGGTTTTTAATAATTTATGACACTCTGTGCGTAACATTTGTTCATCTCATGAGCTCTAAAATCGCAGCTAGCAGTTAATCCTCAGGAGGTTTATGTTCATTTTTCTGGAAATATAATTAGTCAGCTGAACAGTGTTGGCCACAGATATGAGATACATCGAATCTGATTTATGCAGCAAACATTTATCGAACACTGCTGTGTGCCAGGCCTGGGCTGGGCTGTGGGAATATGAAAGCAATAGTTATGACAAGGATGATTAACAATATTAACAGCCACTTATTGACCACATAATACATACCTGGCTAGGTGCACAAGTTATCCATATGTGATTTAATCCCTAAAACTACCCTTTGGTATGAGTATATTTTGCAACAGCTTTACTGTGATATACCTCAAATATTGTACAGTTTATGAGATGATAGGTATTCTTATCCACATTTTACAGATGAGAAAGTTGAGGCCCAGAAAGGTTAAGTAACTTTCCCCAGGGTCTCTCAGCTAGTTAGTAACAGAGGCAGAATTTGAATATAAGACTCTTTCACTCCACAGTCTGTACATTTACAACCAGGAAGCTAAATTTACTATTATTATCAAGCCATCACCTCAGGCTCCAAGGATTATGAAACCCAATGGTGAGGAGAGAAATCGAAATAAATTACTTCTATGCTACATGTTACATATGACTCTTAGGAGGTATATTCAGGGAATTGTGGGAAAAGAGAGTGATTAACTTAGCCAGTGGTCATGAACAGCTTCATAGAGGAGGGGATGTTTGAATGGGATCTTGACGGACGAGTAGCAATTTGCCAGGCTGCCATGGGAAGATTTCTTGCTCAATCAAGAATGCAAGGACCACTTTTGCTTACTTAAACTTTGATAGTTTTTGAAGCTATCTCTGGCTTTTTGAGCCTCTCTACTTTATCTGGCCCATAAAAGAGAGGGGAAGTGGCTGCTTCTCTTGTCTACAGGAGTGTCACCTTCAACGCTAGCCTGACCATAGGCTACCCCAGAATACCCTCCATTGGCAATCCTGAAGCAGCATGGAGCCAGTTGTTAATATTAGGGGGAAATGACACAAGCCAGAGCCCTTATCAAAGTGTCCACACCACTCTCTTCTTCCTGTGTTTCCCAAAACCCTTCTGAGATTCTGCTAAGGAGAGAACTCGGAGGCAGGATGTGCCAAAGAAATGGTGAGAACACTTAGAACTTTAGTTCATCTGAACTTTATCATTGCCCTTTTTTTTCTCTTTGTTTATACACAAACCCTGGGGTTTATTACCCTCTCATTGGAATGCTCTTGTCCCAGTTACTGAGCACACAAATCCCGGAGACAGATGGCCCTGCCTCAGTGGCAGTGGGCCTTATCAGATTTAATATTTGTTCCCTGCAGCCCAAACACAATCAGCAAATTTCCGACACAGAAACGAGAGTTGAAAGTAAATATAGTCTCCAGTGTCCGCAACAAAGAACTCTCCATCATGTGGTTGCCTGGGATGTGGCTTAATTCTCATTTGGGCTTCTGAGCTCTGAGAAAATGGGGGAAAGGGATCATTTACTGAGATCATTTGGTTCATCTCCCAGCCCCCAAGCCATTCTAATCCCGAGAGAACTGAGTGCTATTCTGGTCTTTATGAATGACAAAGAAGGAAGCTCCCTAGCTACATGTTGCAATGTTTCACAATCTGGGAGAGGAAGCCCTTTTTTTCTGCCCAGCCTTGATCTATCCTGCAGCAGTTGGCACAGCGGGGCACCTATGGTTTATTCATCATTACTCTTCCTTCCTAAGATTCTCAGAGTTGGCAAGAAACATATCATCCTTGGTATCCACAAGGACAAACATTTCTGATGTCCTCTTTAGTTACTGAAAGTGTCTGTGACTTGCCAGATCTTTGATGCTCCTGTCACCCCACTGCCACTCCCCAGGGAAAGCTGGGACCCAGTTTGGGCTCTGCCTATGATCCATAACTCTTTCCCGCCTCCTCCTCTCCAGCCCAACCTCTACTCCCAATCTGTCACCTGCCATGGATGCCACAGATCTGTCTGGAGGGCAAGAGAATTGGATTCATAATGAGCTGCTGGTGTCTGAAACCTGCCAGCACTGCCCTGGGCTATCAGCTGAGCCAAAGGAAGAAGGAACAGTCTGGGTTTGATCGAAGGGCTAAAGCTTCAAACAGCCTTTAAATCTCAGTAGGAAAACGTGTAGGTTTGGTAGTGTGTATGTGTTTCTGAATGAGTTCCCCTAAGAACTGCTTATGGTTCTGTATGTGTATTCTGTTTGTCCCTATGTCTTTTGGTGTGTCTTTCTGCGTGTGTGTGTGTGTGTGTGTGTGTGTGTGTGTGTGTGTGTGTGTATGCCCCTGTTTGGATGGCCATATTTGTGGCTATCATTATGAGTGACTCAATGAGTGTGTATACCTTGGTGTTTCTGTGACTTTGTGGTTTTAGTATGTGGGCTGGCCTCTTCATAACCATGTCCATGCAGCTGGTCTGGCCTGGAGTACCTGCCTTCAATTCACTAGCTCCTTCTTAGCCACCAAGACTCTGCTCAAATGTCATCTGCTCCAGGAAAACTTCACCTGGTTGAATTAGATGCCCCTCTTCTGTGCTCACATAACATCCTATCAAAGTGCTCTGTCTCTTTCCCCGACTTGATCCTCTGTCCCCCATTATCTGACCTCTGTGTGCCCAGCACTCAGCCCCCTCCCTGCCTGACACCCAGGAGATGCATGGGAAATGGTTCTGCAATGAAGGAATAATGCAGCAGTTACTATATATTGAGTGCTTACACTTACTGTTTTTCCTGTGCACTGTTACATTGACTTCTCATAACAACTCTCTGAAGTCCCTTTGTAGCCTCATCTTACAGATGAGGAAACTGAAGCTAAGAGAGGTTGAGGAACTTACCTAAGGACACAGTGGCTAATATATTATGAGTCAGGACCTCTAAGTCCAGGCTCTTAACCACCATGTCAAACAGTCTTGGATGAATGGGTAGGTGTGTTGGTCTCTGGGTGGCCAAAGATAGTTTTATTCTTTACCCAGGGCCTCCCAGAGCTGGGACCTATGGACAACTCACCTTTTGGCACCTGCCAAAATAAGAAGCAAGAGCCCAAGTGATCCTCTCTCCTTTAAGCACCAGAGAACATGTGAAGGGGACCTTTCCAATCACACCTCCGGCCTGGCAGAGACAATGGGGGTCCAAACTGTAGAGTTGGGAATGCTGGGTTCTAGTCCTACCTCTGCAGTTAACTCTCTTTATCCTCCTCAGCAGTCACATTTTGCAAGCCTCAACTACAAAATGTGTAATAACTTCTGTAGAAAGTACATGGGGGCATGAAGATCATTGGCTTGATTACTTTTAAAAAATGTATATTGAGGACTACTGGGGAAATCCCTGGAAACAAACACAATTCTTCCCTGAGAGCTTGTGAAAGTGCAAGACTAGGGCCTATGATTTTCCAAAGCATTTTCTTCCACCGAGTGTCAGGTTGTAGGTCCTTAGTCTTTTCTCTCTTGCCTTGGTACCTGCAGGGTGCTGGCCAGTGCCATCATACCCAGGACCCTCTTCTAGGTAGACTCCCCCAGGGCCTGCCTTCCTTGGGCAGCACGGCAGGCCTCTTGGCTAGTCTAGTACCCACTAATTGTTTTTGTTTGTTTGTTTGGTGGAAGGTGGAGTCTCACTCTGTCTCCCAGGCTGGAGTGCATTGGCGCAATCTCAGCTCACTGCAACCTCTGCCTCCTAGGTTCAAGCGATTCTCCTGGCCCAGCCTCCTGAGTAGTTGGGATTACAGGCATGCATCACCATTCCCGGCTATTTTTTTGTATTTTTAGTAGAAACACTGTTTCAGCATGTTGGCCCGGCTGGTCTCAAACTCCTAACTTCAGGTGATCCGCCTACCTCAGCCTCCCAAAGTACTGGGATTACAGGCATGACCCACCAGGCCTAGCCAGGTACCCACTTCTTAACTGAAACTTAGCTATTCCAGGTTCCATCCCTCTTAAACCAACTCTTTGAAGAGCGATCTAATAATGACCCAATGGCTTATAGCTGCAGTGAGATTTTTATTTTAACAGGTCACAAAATTCTCAATCTACAAAAATCATTTTCTGACTCTAGGGTATGTTTGTTGGGGGCAGGGAGGGAGTTAGAGTTTTGCCTTTAGAGCTGCAAAACTAGAATTTGTTGTTTTGTTAAAAATGCACAAATACTGACTAGTATATTTAAGTAACACCCACAGTCTAATGAACAAACATGATCAGTTGGCTTTTCCAGCCATCATTCTCCAGCCTGTGTGTTTTCTGCTCATTGTAACACAGCATGTGTGTGGCAGTCCATGTTTCTCCAGAGCTTTCATGAGAATCAGTGGTCTTGGGTGCATAGTGTTCCCAGGAGTATCATAATTACGTAATCATTCCCTGTGGTTGGACATTTATGTGGGTTTTTGCATTCTCCTTTTGCTCTGGCCCCAAAATAAATATATGTGTTCATACAGCCATTACCTTATGTGAAATTATTTTCTTTGGGATAAATTCTCATGATGTGTTGTTGCTTTAAAATCATGGACTCCAGTCTCCAGAGCTGCGTTCCTGCAGAGGACAGTGAGACAGAAGAATCCCAGGCCATGTTAAACAGGACCGGGTCTTCCTAACCCCCACAGGCCTATATTTCTGACCCAGTACCAGCCAGGGGGGGCATGTTTCCGTCCCCCACAAGTTACAAGCCTGTAACTAGGACACTAGGACACTAGGACACTTAAGGTCAAAGGCCTGGACGAGGCCTAGACACTGGGTCTGGGGTAGTGTTTTGGACATCATCCAGGTTCATGTTCATATGTTGTCCCCTTACCAGTGTGTGACCTTGGGCCAGCCACTAACCCTACTGAAACTCCTTTTTTCATGTATGAAATGGGGCTAATAATGGTACCCTCCTCAGTAGGGTATTGTGAGGATAGAGTTTTGCAACTGATAAATGTTGTCTCCTGCCCCTTCCTCCCCGGAAGGTCAGGTCTCTCCCTGCAGCCTAATTTTAAGGCCTATTTTTCTGCTTCCAGCCCACCCCCGCCCTTCTACCTTCAACTTCCTCCCTCTACGTCTCCCTCTGGTACACTGGCAAATGGGACAGAGACCCTGGGTAGGGCCTTCCTCTTAGAGTCTTGCATGAATCCCTCAGTGGTCTCCCTGTGGCTGCTTCCTGCTGCCCCCAACAGATATAGACCCCTGTCGCACACAGCACGGGAGAGACAGTGGTGAGCAGGACCAGACAACTCCAGGGAGCAGTGAGGGCTGACTTAGAGAACCTCTGTTAAACTGAGAGGCCACCATCAGGAAGCTCTGATCCAAGATCCAGGAATTACTGACTCTAGGGAAAGGCCTCCTGAGAGCCTGGGCCCTCTCTGCCTGATCCTGGTTGTGGATGTGCCCTCAAACTCCTTTTCATCACTTTGTTCCCATCCCTCTTTACCCTGTAGCAGCTCCCACACGCTGCCAAACAGCACGCACAGTCCAGGGCAGTGTCTGAGAAAGAGCAGAGTTCTGTCTTCATGGAAATATTGATGTGGCTCTGCTGGGGAGCAATGGATTTATCAAGATCAAAGTTTTCCTGGGAGTTATTGATGCTTAATTTGGAAATAGACACACTGTTGTTCCCTGGTATCTTTAGCAACAAAGTTAAAATGTTTGTTTTTCTTCACTGGTTGCCATCTGAGATCTTGCTGGAAGTACACAAGAGAACCTTAAATTTAACAGGAGGCCCTGGGAGCCCATGAGGCTGGCGGGCTTGGGTCTGAAATCTTTTCAGTCTCTTATAAGTGATGAGTTCCCATTCTCTCCCGAGAGCTCTACGGTGCCATGTTTTCCAGTGGCCTTTTCTGCTCCGTAATTGCTACAGTACAAGCTGTTGGTGAGTTTGGAACAAGGGAGCTGCTGATTCCATTTTCTGTAGCAGAGAACATGCACCGTGAGACTTGCTATACCAGTTCAGGTTTTAGCTGCTCTATTTATTCTTGCCCCATTCAGAATGCTCTCCCCTGGGCCTGTGGCCACAATGTTGAGAGTCATATTTGTGGGCCTGCGGTTGTAATTGGGCCCCATTCTGTTCCCTCAAGTGGAAAGATGAACAGGGTGTAAGCAACCTTCCCTGTAGTTAGAAGAATGTTTAGTTGGATTTATCAGTCTGATTTTTCACTCATAAACAATTACATAAGACTTTGCAGGCACGGAGGGTCTTGTAATAATCATGGCCATGGTCCATTATGGCACAGTGATGTGTTCTACAGTGGTCATTTTGCTGGCAGGGACAGTCACCTCTGAACTTCTCTTTCCAACAGACACAATTTCTCGGAGTTTACTTTGTCTCATCCCAAGAGTTCCTTGCCAATGCCTACGTCTTAGCCGTGCTTCTGTTCCTTGCCCTCCTACTGCAAAGGACATTTCTGCAAGCATCCTACTATGTGGCCATTGAAACTGGAATTAACTTGAGAGGAGCAATACAGGTACTTGGATGATTATTTTTTCACCTCACCATAAGAACTATTATTAGGAATAATGTCCACGAGTGTTATTCATCCTCATGGACACTCAAGAATAATTCTGCTGTGAATTTATTTTTTGTTGCCCATTAACAATGTTTTAAAACAGTAACCATTGACAAGGCAGTGTGGGATAGTGGAAAATGTCTTGGGCTGAACTTGGGAGGCAGAGTAGCTCTGGCTCTGGTTCTGCCTTGGACTAGGTCTGAAAAGCCAACTGCTCAGCCCTTGGCTTGAAAGTGGCAGACATCACCAATTGATCACAGCACTCTTTCTGACTAAGGGTAAATGCAACCTTGGAATCCTCTCTACATGGCTATTCCAGAGTTCTGCTACCAGACTGTCTTCTTTGAAAAAAGGAATGTGTTTGACATACTATGTCTAGATAGCCTCTAAGACAGGGTGCCCTCTAAGATGGGGTATTGGTCCATGGCCTGTTAGGAACTGAGCCACACAGCAGGAGGTAAGCAGTGGAAGCAAGCATTACTACCTGAGCTCTGCCTCCTGTCAGATCAGTGGCTACATTAGACTCTCATAGGAGTACGAACCCTATTGTGAACTGTGCAGGCAAGGGTCTAGGTTGTGTGTTCCTTATGAGAATCTAATGCCTGATGATCTGAAGTGGAACAGTTTCATCCTGAAACCATCCCTCTCCCCCAGGTCCATGGAAAAATTGTCTTCCACAAAACCAGTCGCTGGTGCCAAAAAGGTTGAGGACAATTGCTCTAAGGTCTATTTGAACTCTGAAATCTTGCCCACTGAGAGTGACCTATTTGGTCTGTTGGGTCACTTAAGTCTAGGCTCTTGGTCCTGCCTTCTGTGGCTTCCCTGTTAGAGATTCTTGGAAAGATGATCAAAGCCAGGGAGTATTCAGGGCCCCTTTGAAGAAGGTGATGATGAGAGTTGTCCAAGTCCCAGAGTCTTCACTAGGATTTTGGTTCAGCTATCAAACTAGAGATACATCCTGTTTGAGAATAGTTTAAATGGGAGAGAAGTTTGTTTATTCTTCAGATAGAGTCAGGGCTGACACAGGAGCTACTCAATGATCAGAGACCTGGCTTTTTGTGTCATGTTGCTCTGCCAGCCTTCTTTTGTGACTTTCATCTCAATAGCCATGGTGGCTATTGAAACTGCCACTATATTTACATTTAAACCAGCCAGAAGAAGGGACAAGAGGAGGGAACGCATCTTCCTTTTAAAATCATAATGCTTAATTTGCACATACTCTCTTGCATCCCATTGGTGAGAAATTGGCCAAATGGCCATATCTAGAGAGGCTAGAAAGAGCTTGATCTTTATTCTTGACAGCTATATATGCACTGCTAGAAATTCTCTATGCAAAGAGGAGAATGGGCATTGGGAATAACTAGATTCAGCTATGCCTAGTGATGTCCATGAAGTTGTGGTAAAATCCTGAAGCTACCTCATTCTTCAGAAATGTTCCTCAGAATCATTAACATTGGTCATGTGGAAGCCAGGATAAGAAGCTCTGCAGAAAAGGGACCGAGAGGACAAAGATATAGCTTGGGCTGGGGACAATGTCAGAGTCCAAACTCTGGCTATCTTAGAATAGTCTGTGTGAACGGTGCCCTCCCAAGTTGTGCAGTGCACAACCTATGCAGCTGCATGTGGCAACACTGCCCATCCCCAGTGGTTTCTCACTGGGAAAGCAGAGTATTTCCTCAGGGATGTCATTATGTGACAATAGTGGAAAGAGCCCAGGAAAATCTAAGACCTTCTAAGACTCATGGGGTCCCAGAGCTGGGAGAAACCAAACTGTTGCTCAGTTCAGAAAACCTCTCTAGAAATCCCAGCCTCTCCTCAGACCCCTCCAGTGACAGGCAGATTTGCACCATCACAAAACACCGCCACTTTTGTGGTTGGACAGTTTTATAATTAAATATACTTACTGTGTATATGTCATAAATTACATTTTCCAATTACACCAAAAGATCCAAATATGGTTTTTTAATGTGTTAGCATATAATCGTTTTCATCAAATTGTTTGAATCTTTCGTGTTAATAAGAAAGATTCATTACTATGCCACAGAAAGGAAAGACTGGTTTTAATTATAGAAACAAATTAGGGGGGCGGAGTGCAATGGCTCATGACTGTAATCCCATCACTTTGGGAGGCTGAGGCGGGTGGATCACAAGGTCAGGAGTTTGAGACCAGCCTGACCAACATAGTGAAACCCCATCTCTACTAAAAATACAAAAATTAGCCAGGCATGTTGGCATACACCTGTAGTCCCAGCTACTCGGGAGGCTGAGGCAGGAGAATCTCTTGAACCCGGCAGGTGGAGGTTGCAGTGAGCCGAGATCATGCCACTGTATTCCAGCTTGGGCAACACAGTGAGACTTCATCTCAAAAAAAAAAAAAAAAAAAAAAAAGGTGGCTCTTGCCTGTAATCCCAGCACTTTGGGAGGCCGAGGTGGGCAGATCATGAGGTCAGGAGATCGAGACGATCCTGGCTAACACGGTGAAACCCCGTCTCTACTAAAAATACAAAAAAATTATCTGGGCATGGTGGCAGGTGCCTGTAGTCCCAGGTGCTTGGGAGGCTGAGGCAGGGGAATGGCCTGAACCTGGGAGGAGGAGCTTCCAGTGAGCCAAGATAGTGCCACTGCACTCAAGCCTGGGCGACAGAGCAAGACTCAAAGAAAGAAAGAAAGAAAGAGAGAAAGAGAGAAAGAGAGAAAGAGAGAAAGAGAGAAAGA